TAAATGAAACATCTGATGAACTAGCGAAAGCGGCGTTAGACGGACCGGCTATCAATATTACCCCTACAACAGCTTTCATAGTAGCGGCTACATTTCGGAGGCAAATAATGGTGTGATAATACTCTACACCATATTTAAAAAATTTCCCGAATTTCAACCATCTAATAACCGATGTCTGGAAGTTTTAATCGCTCGATTACGCAGTCGTATTCCTCAATTAAATTTTTACTTGTTTAGGGCAGGCTTGACTCCCTCCCCATTCTGTCCTTTTTGTGGAGAAGATGATACGACACTTTTTGATCTCTCATCTAAAGTTTTCAACATTACGAAAGGTATCGCTAGAAATACCGTTGCGAATTCTTTGTTTTAGCTTTGACAAAGTTAAATTTACTATCCATAGGTGCACATACCCTAGGGCACAGCAACGGGAAAGTCTACGAGGCCGTGCAAAATTTCATTGTACAGTCTAAGAGATTTACTCAATAACGTCAATACCAAAATATTCTCTGTTAACTAATGTAGGCAACCAGAATTTTTTAAAAATAACAATCATTTATTGCTCATTCAGTAGAAACCAATTCATTCAATTTTTTCTCATGAATTATTTACCAAAAAATTAATATTTCTATCATTATTATTTTCGCAAGTATTTAAATATATATATTCCTTTTTTTTTGTTAAGCTATCTGATTCTTGGTCAATACCACAGAGTTGCGGGTGAGCCACAAATTTAGGATCTACATCTACATTAAACCAGAGCACGCACCTCTCTATAAGCCCGCGTGTCGCTTCAGGGGTTTTGAAACAAACCGAGTTCACAAGGGCTTTTCGTTAGTTTGTGCTCACTGCCATTGTGCGCCGCCTTGACTAATAACCTGTTAAGCGCTGATTGACTGGTTTTGCTGTCCTATCGAACAATCCTATAGCGTAAGATGGCGGCCCATATTCAGAAAATTTTTATACGCTATAGCGCTATCTGGAAAGAATTTTTCATCCAATCACGATTATATGGGACACAATATTAGCGAACTCAGCTCATCGATTGGAAATGTCGTTTACGAACTTTCGTGAAGTTGGCTCAAGGGCCCCTCTCGGCCTCTCCTTTATTTTTCGCGATCCCGCATTCAGCGCTGCTTCGAAGCCCCGCATCCATGCTTCGCGGGTAAGCCGAAACCAGAACCACGAAATACGTGGCCCTTATTTCACTAATGACGTACGCACTTTCGTAACAAGCGAAGATTAAAAGAAAACCTCTGACATGTATATAGCGAATCTATTGCCCTGACAATAAAATGAGCGATTCCCCGCGATACGTGGCGCCCTTGCGGAAGGAATCGTTCGGGCCACGGAAAATTCCTGGATGCGCGCTCCCCAGCTTCCTTCTTTGGCTCTTCGAATATCGACCGTCCGTTTCTCGGAACGGCCACGGGGCGTAAACAAGTGCTCTTGTACATCAGTCCTTCTCACCCCTCTCTCTTATTCGCCGTTTTTTCATTCTTTCTCGCGCTAGCGATATAGCTGGTGTTAAATGAGCTGAACGTATTTCCGAGAACGGTGCCGACGATAGAGGGATAGTGTGGGAAGCGGAAGAGGAACAAGTCTGAAGAAGTTGAGATCATGAGGGGGCAGTTTTTTTTTATTATGTGTTAAACTTTTTTTTCCCCTTTTAGAGATGGGCTTTTGTACAACGACGCAAACCAATGCGCGGCTATTTAATGTTAAAATGAAACTATAAGAAAGACAACTCCTGCCGCTGTTCAACGATGTTATGTAAATACACGCGAGGAAGCTCTCTGCGGAGATGAGAAAAAAAAGCACATGCGGCAGCTCCAAAATATAACGCTCTTTATATCGTGTGGGTAGTATGAAAATGGGAATGAAAAAAAAATGAAAGCCATTCTGTTTATTACGGTCTGCATCGCTGATTGTTAGTTGCGATTCGCATCGGTGATTGCGATAGCGATTGCAGTTAGTCTTTTGAGTTGGCAATTTTCGGGCATGCCGTGACACGCAGATAGGGCGAGTGTACGAACAACCGCGCTGACTGCGTAACTGGTTTACACAATGAAAGAAAAGGTCAGTTATCTTTTATCATCACGGCAGAGGCATTGCGATGCCGTAAACATATAAACGTCCAGTGCTTGCTATCACAATACCCCCCCCCCCATTTTTTCAGGCTTAAAACGTACATGACTTCGCTGACCAAATAACCATACAGCTACAGCAAAGGAGGAGAAATTAAGGCTTAGTTGTTTACTATCAGTGAAGGCCTAAACATACAAAACAGACATGCTACATAAACATATGCTTTAACAGCTGTGTGTCGATGAATAAAAAAGATGACCTGAGTTGGCGTTCTACGTTTTTTCCAAGGTGAAGTAAAGAGTCGTGTAATGGGAAAGCATTGTGCACTTGACTGAAGACAAGTTCGTGTCACTGACTACCCTTACGTAAGTGCCATATATGGCACATATAAAAATTACATGCGACCATATATGAGTAGTGAAGCAGGAACATATACGGCACGACTGACCCATGTATAGAGTCAAATGGAACCATATATGGCATGACTGCTTCATATATGGAGTAAAGTGCAGTCTCACATATATATATATATATATGTGTGTGTGTGTGTGTGTGTGTGTGTGTGTGTGTATGGGATATGGCACAACGGGAGCGTTGTCAACAAGGATAATATATTTATTTCCCAACAGTTTCGGGAGGGGTCCTCCCTTCATCAGGGGATGATATATATATATATATATATATATATATATATATATATATATATATATATATATATATATATATATATATATATATATATATGCCGCTGTGATAGCTCAGTGGTTAGAGCATCGAGCGCGTTATTCGAATGTCGTAGGTTCGATTCCTGCTCACGGCTGGTTATTTTTTCACCCACTTTTCTTTCTTCTTATTTACATTACATTTGTTCTAATAACTTCCCCTGTACATTCCTTGGCATTATTGTCTGTTAGATCTCATTAATATAGAGTCAAAACACGGAAAAACGAGCCCTTAGGTATATACCTCGTTCCCTTATATATATATGCACAGGTAGTCAGGAGTCTAGTCATAGCTGTTAAGCCTGTTCTCGGAATAGGGACAGTTTAAGTAAGGCCTCTTTGTAACTCAGTACGAACATACAATGCCTGCTGTAAAATAAGAAAATATAGAAAAGGCAACTTGGCGAATTGATGCAGAGCTGCCAGCTGGCAAAAGAACACTGTCGAGACATTCTTTTGCGGAACATGAGGCGTTCACCTGTAAGCGTTTCTTTTTTTTTTCTTTCGCACAGGCCAAAGTCGCAGAATGTGCCAAACGTGGCTTAACATTCGCGTAGTATGCTTCCAAGGACACTGTGTCGAGAGGTGCATTACACGTTATGCAAAGGGTCGTAAATGGTATTTGAAAATACAATGAAATGCTCGCAGAAGTTGGTTGAGGTCCGAAGGAACAGAACAATGCGACTGAGCGCGATGAATAGCACTTCTAGCTCCCGGCAAAGCTGCACAGCAGCTGTCTTCTTCACCCGTAGTGCATTTATACGTGAACGGTGTTAACGGCTGCGCTCCATATTGCAAGCTGCTGCCTTCTCAAGGTAAAAGAGGAGACGTTGATTCACAGCTGATGGGGAGAAGGTACCTTGAGACACAGCGCTCGCGCGACTGGCAGTTACGGACTCGCGTTGTCACCTGCTCACCAGACGACACACGGGGGCGCGCATAGCGCAAAACTCGTTCGCACCTACTACAAAAACGAAAGAAGTGCAACCGCGCAACGATGTAGTCACTCCTAAGCAACTCCTAACAACCTAAGCGTTCAGAAGAGAGAGATAATAGGTAGCGGGGACTACTGCCTCTGCAGAGGGTCACTTGAAGTCTGCAACCCCCTCCAGACCCCATTTGCTCGAGCCACAACTGCGAAAGAAACCACGACGCCGTCAACGTCGCGCATGCAGAAGAGCGGGCGCCACTCAGAAACGAGAGCGTCCCTGAGCGATTTTCGCGAGCAGGCGAGGAACGGCTCCCTCGAGCGAGGAGCTAGCTGTCCGAGTAGTTTTCCAAGCGTCGCACGCAGCAGCTTCGACCCCGGAAGAGATCATGAGGCCGCGTGAGCGAGGAGGCTAAACGAGAGAGGTTGAAGGGGGAGCTGGCGCGAGAAACAAAAAGCGAGAAAACCCCCTTCGCCGCCGCGCCCGTAAAGCCGGCCGGCCGGCTCCTCCGAGGGCACACGGAGAGAATGGAGGGGAACACCGAGAGCTTGAAGAAGCAAACAAATACGTTGTACGCAACCTGCCCCGCGCAACTGCTAGGCGTCCTCAGGACATAGAGAAGGGCAGCGGTTATACTGTGTGCTTGGACCCTGAGGAAGTCAAACATGCACAAAACGGGCCGCTGCGGCGTTCCGCGGATCGAAGAGAGGAGGGGGAGAGGGTGGTGGGGAACTGCCGCGGAGTTGCGACACACGCACGAGGAGGGGTGCCTCTGCTGCGGGGAGGCATTCCCGGGAAGGAAGGAGCAAAACAGGCCGTGACGTCATGTTGACGTCGCTGCGCGTGCGCCGGTTCTCGAGGGGCGAGGCGCGCCTCCATGTTTGTGTGTACGCAGCAAGCGCCGGCCGGCTTTCGTTTGCCGCGGTGGAGGCACAGCTGATCGCCGCCGCGCGCCTGCAGGGAGCCGCTTTGTGCGCGCTCGCAACGCCTGGGCCAGTCCGGACAGGGTGAAACTGTCGAGAAAGGTTGGAGAAGCAATAAAGTGAGCACCAAGTCACGTTCGCGATGCGGCGCACGTCGGCCTAACCACTCACGAGTCGAAACCAGCTGTATCCCCGATCAGCTGGAAACGCGACGGGCCTCTCGCGGTCTAGCGGCCATGTCGCCAGCCGGATGACGAAGACGGGAGGAAAACGAAAGTACCGAATCGATGCTGTAGAGCGACATCACATTCACCATAAAATGATTTAAAAAGAGTACTCACTTTATGGAAGGCGGCACGTCGATGCTGAGTGAAGAAGCTCGCCGCCGGAGCTCGCTTTGACCTTCGGCAAGGCGTGAATAGTCCGTGTCCAAGTCCTGCAGGCGAGCCGACTTGCGGCTCTCCAGGAGTCTGACCTCCTCCAGGCGCTTGTGGAGCTGCACCGTATGCGTTATGTGATGGTTGTGCTGCGAAGGCTGGATGCTGATCAGTACGTCGTCGCGCACGGCGTCGTGCTCCAGCACGACTCCTGAAACCTCACGGCCGTTAAACGTTACGTAAACGCGCTGTCCGGTCTTGAGAGTCAGGCCCGCGATGGTCTGGAAGCCCGGACCGATGAGCTCGTCGCCACGGTACTCACCCGTCGACTTGTCTGGGAACGTGACAGTGTAGACGTTCTCATCCTCAGCGTCCGTTTTTGTCGCCATAATAACACCAGGCATGTGAAGACCGTCTGCCGTAGGAGCGCACACACGCGTACCCAGGATCGAGCGCTTCGCGAGTCGCTTGCCCGTCGACATGTCGCTTCGTCGTTGCAGCACGCTTAGCTCTTCTCTCTATCCGCCAAGTTTCACGCGCGCGCACTCACGATTTCACCGCCTGCTCGCGCCGGAGCCGGCGCACTGACATGCTACTAGCCCGAGGAAAAAACACAGCCGGCAAACACCGAGAGGTCCACACCGGTGCGCCGATGGAACAACCGCTCTCTATCTACAGCACAGCTGGCCGATCTTGTCCTTCCCTCACTCCTCGGACCGGCTCGGCTGCTGCGAGTGCGCTCGACAACAAAGCCATGTGATTCTGGGGGCGCTGCGATTGGCCGCCGCACCTCTGACCTATTTCCTCATTGGCTGGCGTCGTTGTCAGGCGGCCATGGCGTTGTAACCAAGGTCCCGGATGTTAAGCTGCTCGCGACGCGATGCCGGCCGCTCGTTCGCAAAAAAAGCGTGATCTTCACCGAAAGACACATGTGCAATTATTGTTTACCATTATATGCGTCAATGGGGCATTGTTAGAGACGTAAAAACGCGTAATAGCGCGCGACAATTGCATCTAGCGGCGCGCGTGGCCCCGCCCAGCTGGCCAAAATGTAAACATGTTTACAACGGTGCTATCCGCCGCCGGCAACCCCTCAAAAAAAAATACCGAGCTTGCGGCATATTTTTCTTACTGTGACTTTTGTGACAATGATTTAACTGCGCACGCCAAAACTGTTCAGGACCTTGCCGAGGGCTAATCTCACCGATCCGGATAGAGTGTCTTTGCAGAAATATTGCGCTACGAACAAAATTCGTTGGGGTGATCGCGGCTGTTATATCGAGCGCCGCTCTTCCCCAACGCCGAAAGGAGCGGCCAGTGTTGCCAAGCGCCGCTGAATGGCTTCGGTGGAAAATCGATACTAGCGGGAAACACTGATGGCGTACAGCTGATTCGTCAAAACAAGCCGGGAAGGAAATTTCCGCGAACTCGGGCAACGCCATCACAGCGGTCGTTCGCTCCTCTGTTGCGCGAATTAGATCGTCGTAGCCGCCCGGCATTGCGATCCTCACAGTGGCATTATTATGGAACGAGAACGTGTCCAAGGTCATTATACCGGTGCAGCCGGCTGCTCAAAATGCAAACGCGATGAAATAAATAACGTTCTTGCGTTTTTCTTTGGGCTTTTAGTTCCACTTTTGTTTCGCATTCGACGCTCTGGTATTGCTTCGTTTCTGACGCCGTTTCAATCATCTAGTCATTCACTGGATTGGATATATATTGGATATATGTACTGATTCCACAAGCAGTGGTTTGTTATTTGTTTAAACAGCTGGTAGAGTAAAACGAGTTTAGTGAGCAGTATTAACCCTCATGCTTTCATAAACACCAGGCTCTTGTGAGAATGTTCGTAGCTGGTGTTCGCATCGGTGACGTTACTAGGTGACAACGAGAACTGCAACAGCAAAGGTTACGCAACAAATCAGCCGAGCAAAAAGTCGGCACGTTGGTACATGTCATCTGGCGCGTTGGATCGATTTTTCTCCTCTGTGCTAGCTGCACTTGGAGCCATTGAGCACAGTGATATCAAAGATTTTGCGGCTCATTCACTCGCGCGCTAAGGCGAATTGCTCGAATTCGCGTCGAATTCGCCTTAGCGTCGAATTCGCGCGTGCAAAATTTACGCTGCATCTGGACTACATTTTAACATTGAAGTTATTGAGTACTTCGACTGAAAGAGCATATTGAGCATGAAACCGGGGCATCGTCGTAGTCGGTAATATAAATGAATCAAAGCGAAAGAAGTTCGTCACGCATTTGAAAATTTAGTTCAGTAAGTGTAACCTTTCCATAATTACATTACTAGAATCTGTCTCTTCCATTGCCAAAGCGCTTTGTTAGTTAATTACAACCAAAAAATGCATTTCAGCGACAATGCGAGATGAATAGTACTTGTAGCGACATCACACAGTCAGTTTTACAACTAACTGCAATAAATTTGCTATGTTTCACCAGAGATGGCGGCAGCTGAAACTTCCGCGTGGTTTTATTTATAGTGAATTGGAACTCTTGGTTCTAGTTAACTATAGCTTTACTTGCGCGCGCATGTGTGTGTGGGGGAGGGGCTCGTTCCCCACACGTCATGTGAGAGCGCGTAATTAATTTTGCAACGTTTGTGTGTGTGTGTGTGTGTGTGTGTGTGTGTGTGTGTGTGTGTGTGTGTGTGTGTGTGTGTGTGTGTGTGTGTGTGTGTGTGTGTGTGTGTGTGTGCGCGCGCGTGTGTGTGTGTGTGTGTGTGTGTGTGTGTGTGTGTGTGTTTCAGGCGGTGTATTTCGCTGATTTGTATTTCTTGTGTTGTATTTATGTTGAACATATTTTCCGCGAAATTTGTAGCGAAACCAAGGAGGTCTCAAAAAAGAATTGCTGTAATGGAAGCTCCCGCAATGCTTTGCCTGCAATATAGAAGCCAGGATTTGCCCTCCAAAGATCTCAGAAACATGCTACTTTCCGGTGGTGCCCAATTAGACATCAAGTAGCGTTGATTTGTTAGTCTAAAGGCTACGTTAATTATAAATTGAAAGACAGTTGTTTCCAAAGAAATAATCCGCAGAGACTTTAACTAGTATTTACCACTTATTCTCTAATAAAATGTTCCTTGAAGTTGAGGCTTACTAAAGAAAACTAGTCACACAAGGACGCACTTCGAGCACTAGTTGACGCGAAAATGTTACGCTAAACACGTTCGGCGTGTAAGGGAAAACGCTCCTTCTCCGTCACCGGTCGTGTTTTAATTGTGACGGTGCGGCTCTCGCCGACACGTGCGTCCCTTCGGCGTCTCACCCGCATTCAGGTTCCCCGGGGCTTCGGCCGAGAAGTCGCCGACCCCTGGGGCCCCTGGGAGGATGGCATCGAGACCAGAATGCACCCCGCCAAAAGAACATGTTGCACGTTTACTGCTCCTGTAGTCGCGTTCTCCGTCGATGAGATCATCGATCGAGTGTCTCGAAGAGTTGACTGCCCAATGAACCACAAATATTGTGTAGACATCCATGGAATGTTTCTCCTGGACATTGTAAATGTCTCTTCGATATCCATAGAAATCCAAATTTCGAAGATTAGATGTACCCGCAACCCTGAAAAACTCGGCCGAGTAAGGTTCCAGGAATGTTGCACATAGACACTGACTGGACATTCAGTATATATATAAAGACATTGCCATTTACTTAAAGAAATGGTTTTTCCCTTTTCTTCGTACACTTACCGCATGTAGTTTGTGTGTTAGACCTGTGGTCACACGGCAGTTTTGCTCATTCCCAGACAACACTCGATGTCCTGAGGTCGTCCTCGTACGGTACAATCGTCCTCGCACAGTTCTCATCGACCTTAATTGTCGCGCAGATGTACCTTATAGAAAGCATCAAAGGCGTGAGGCTGGTTGGACGGATTGATATGTAGGGTTTAACGTTCCAAAACCACCACATGAGAGACGCCATAGTGGAGTGCTCGGGGAATTTAGACCACCTGGGGTTCTTTAACGTGCAATCAAATTTGAGCACATGGGCCAACAGCATTTTCGCCTCCATCGTAAATGCAGCCGGGATTCGAACCCGTGACCTGCGGGTCAGCCGGTTAACCACTAAACCACTGGAGCGAGGCTGGTCGGAGTGCTGTCAGACGACATTTTTCAGGCCAGCCGAATGGTGTTGATGCTTTATGTAAGCTTCACACCAGCTAAGAGCCAGACTGCAGTGGGAGCGCAGGTCTGTAGCACACAAAACAATACATGCAGCAAGCCTGAAGGAAGTGGGGGGCAGGGGCTAAGTCTGCTTCGTTTCTCTTGCGCTTCCTTTCCTTCTCTCTTTCTTTTTCCCAGTGTTTTCTGTCTTTATTTCTCCTGTATTTTTTAGTCTATTTCCCTTGCCATTTCTATCTTTCTTTCTATTCCTTCTTTTACCACCTCTTTCTATTTCTCACTTGCTTCATCTTTTCTATTTTTTATGTGGTTTTGCTTGCGTTACGCCAAGCGACAATAGCCCGAGCCCCTAAAGTGCTTCACACTTAGAAGCACCTTCGGGCTCATGATTTGTCGCTATTCATGTATGGCGACACTCCACAGGTGGTCGAAATTTCCGGAGCCCTCCACTACGGCGTCTCTAATAATCATATGGTGGTTTAGGGACGTTAAACCCCACAAATCAATCAATGTATGGCAACACTAATACACCACATGTTAATTTTATGGTCGTTCACACGATTTTGATCTCCTCGCGCATGCAAGTGTATGCATTACGCACGCTCGAACGTTACATGTCCATTTACTTTCTAGATTTTACGTGCCAGTATATATCTATCATTCTAAATGTCAGCTAAAGCGGCTTTAGACGACAGAAAGTTCTGCGATGTATTTGCCAGTATATATCTATAATTCTAAATGTCAGCTAAAGCGGTTTTAGACGACAGAAAGTTCTGCGATGTATTTGATGTTGTAAGCACGTATGTGCAACATCATTTGCAACGTCTAGTTTTTGTCTAAGAGAGAAGTGCATACAACGTTAATTATACGTAGGCTCTCTAGACTGTAAGGATGGTGCATTGTGGGGATGTCGATTAGATGTTATCGGTAGACGTAGATGTATGGATCTTAGTTATATGTTGACTGGATATCAGTGGTTCATTGGGTGGTAGCGAAGGGATGCTGTTCCTGCAACACCTCGGCGCTTGGAAGTTCTTGGTAGCAACGAGGACAGCGGAACAAGCCACTAATCTCCCGTTACCTCGCCGTGTAACAGGACGCCTCGCATCCATTGAGGTGGCCTTCCTCTGGGGAGGCCCCGCCGTGGTGGTCTAGTCGCTGAGGTACTCGTCTGCTGTCCCGCAGGTCGCGGGTTCGAATCCCGGCTGCATTTCAGATGAAGGCGGAAATGTTGTAGGCCCGTGTGCTCATATTTGGGTGCACGTTAAAGAACCCCAGGTGGTCGAAATTTCCAGATCCGTCCACTACGGCGTCTCTCATAATCATATGGTGGTTTTGGGACGTTAAACCCGACATATCAATATCAATCCTCTGGGGAGGAAAACCAGCAAAGGTACATAGGAAATTTTTACAGCTTTCCACAAACGTAGAGGATTGAGTCTCCCAGACATACTAACAATCAAGAGAACACTGGCTGTAAAAACAACACAGAAGCTCTTCGATGACAGCACCAACCCGGGTACATGCTCTTAATTATGTACTGGAGCAGTACACTAAAAGGAACATTCTCGGCAAATCCGTACATTCGACCACGTGCAGAAATTCCGCTTAAGTTTTACAGAGCGGCCAGTGGCTTAAAACGAACAGTGGAAGGATTGCAACGCCGTCCTTTCCATTTTTTTCGTGCAAGATGCTTTTTCTTCCTATTTGATCAGTGTGCTACTTGTCACCATTTTGCTTATTTCCTGCGATGAAACATCTTACAGACTGCATGAACCTATGCCTAACCAGGTGCGCGAGTTTGACTGGTTGAGAAGATGGAGGGCATTGCCTACGCGTGACCGGTTAGCACATTGGGGAGTCGTTCCAAATGACCGCGAAACAAACTGCGGCAAAAGAGAGACGGCCCCACATGCCCTGTTTCAGTGCTCGGTGGCAAGGGGCGTCTGGCACATGGTACAACGCCTCTTTGGCTTTCGCATGGGAACAGAACGTGGACTGTTTGCAAGACTGGTCTTTATTGTGACCTTGTACGTACTGTGGCGGCGACGCTGTTTAGCGGAAGTGCGGCACAAGCCTCATAGAGGCGCCTATCCCGCACTCCAGAAAATACGGCTCATTTTGTGAAATTTCTTAAATCAGCAGCTGGAAACGCACGGCGAAGAGGTTTTCCTTCGACGATGGCACACACGTTTCGTCAAAGTAAGAGAGGGACAGCTGAAGTTTCCAGTTCCGTACTAGCCACGCGCCCACTGTAGTACGCATGCATACGTGTTATTCTGTAAAATGTGATTAAATTGATTCATTTTAATTGTCCTTTGACTTGCAACATTTGGATACCCTGTGATCAGTTAGATTTGGGAGCTCGTTTGTACGATGTATACACTGTCTTTACTTGTTTTCAATGTTTCGTTTGTGTATGTACAAGTGAAGTGTACCATAAACTTCCCTTTCTCAATCGCTGAACGCCAACAGCGCGCCGTGCTCCCGACCGGGCTGCAGAAATTAGGTGCCTTTTCTCATCTTCCAACAACTATCACCACCAGTAATGGATGGATCGATTGATATGGCTCATATATGGTTGTAATCTATAGATTAGGTGGTGGCTAACGCCACCTAGCCGTAATATTTAGTAAACAAAAACTAAATTTATGTTGTTTTCGTTAAATTGTTAAGCACAGGCACTTTCCAGTGAATGATTTAATTTTCACTCGTGCCTTGATTGAAGCCACCAATCAGATAGCCTCCTTCTAGTTATTTCTACCTGCTTAAAGTCTATTTTGCCCTCACCGTCCCTAAACCGTAGTGCTTTGAAAAACTCTGAGCCATCATCCTGAGCTCTAGAGTGAAGCTCTTTACAGGACATTATCAAATGTTCGGCAGTTGCCTCCTCCTTTCCACACGCACTGCATACCGTGTCTACCCCTTCGCATTTGGCCCGATAAGTCTTGGTTTGCAATACTCCCGTCCTGGCCTCAAACAGCAGAGAACTACCCTGAGAGTTATCATAGATCTTTCCTTGGCGATTTACTGCATGAAAGTTTGATAGATCTCTAGTGCCGACTTCTTAATCATGCATATTCTCCACATGTTGGTCTCAGTTTCCTTCACCTGCTTAATTCTTAACCGGGAGTTCTTTTTGGTTTGGCCCCCTGCTGTTTTCTAAGTATTTACTCGCCAATTTTCGGGTTCGCTTTCTCCTTTTTGTATCGACATTCCTCATGTACAAATAGCTGAAAACCTTCCTAGCCCAACGCTCCTCCCCCATTTATCTCAATCGCTCCTCCAACTTTATCTTGCTGCTAGCTTCCCTGTCCTTGAGTGATGCCCACCCATATCCCCTTGTATTCCCTGATTTGGTGTATTCCCGTGAGTTCCAAAAGCAAGCCTACCTATTGCACGTTGCTTAATTTCTAGTCTTGCTTGAACCTCTTATCTCATGCACAAGACCGCATTGCCGAACGTCAGCCCAGGAACCATGACCCTTTTCCATATTCCTCTCACAACATCATACCTATTGTAATTCCACAGTGCCCTATTTTTCATCATTGCTGCATTCCTGTTACCTTTAGTCGTCCCGTATATTTCGTGTTCCCTTAGGTACTCGGCCCCATTGCTTATCCATACGCCCATATATTTGTATTTATCTGTTATCTCTAGCGTGACCTGCTGTATTCTAAGCTCACTGCCTTCATTGTAATTAAAAATCATGACTGCTGATTTTTCCTTACTGAATCTGAAATCTAACGCATATCCCTCATTACCGCAGATGTCCACCAATCTCTGCAAATCTTCCTTGTTGTCGGCCATTAGCACTATATCATCTGCGTACATCAATGCTGGTAGTGCCTGCTCGATGAGTTTTCCTTGTTTGACGAAAGAGAGGTTGAAGGCCAGTCCACTCCCCTCTAATTTGGCCTCTAATCCTTTTAGATACATCATGAATAACAAGGGTTGACAAAGGACACCCTTGCCTAAGCCCCCGTTTCACCTCTGTGGGCTCAGATACCTGCTTTTCCCACTTTATAACTACCTTGTTACTTTTATAGATCTCCTTTAAAAAACTAGTGACTACATCTTCCATGCCTAGTGTGTCCAGTATTCCCCACAATTCCTCTTGAACCACGCTATCGTACGCTCCCTTGATATCCAAGAATGCTAGCCACAGGGGCCTGCGTTCCTTTTCTGCTATTTCGATGCACTGCGTCAGTGAGAACAGATTCTCTTCCAACTTCGTGTGTTTCCGAAGCCCATTCTGCAGTTCCCCCTGCACCCCCCTCATCATCTATCCATGCCTGCAGTCTTTCCGTTATAATCTGTATCGCCAGCCTATAGCCAGGCTCCAGCCTGTAGACCACTGATGCCACTGAAGTCGCTGTGCGATAACCGCGCCACCATGCGTACAGAACATGAGAAGTGTGAAGGTTTGAGCAATTCTTAATGAAGAGTTTAAGTTATTGCATTCCGACACGCTCTATCCGTTTATATTATTAAATATTGACATAAAAACTATACTACACTTGACACATTCGCACAGAACTTGGTATCCGTTAATCCGATTGTCCGGATAGAATGTCCGTCTATGAAGTGGCGCCCCCGATAGCCGGCTTCGGTTGACCGACATCTTGAAGTCGCCACAAGTGACATTTTTTTACCTGCCGCTGCAAGCTCGCTGCATTCAGCTTCGTTGGCCTCACCGAACCATGGCCGACTTTGATCAATTCGAAGCGAATTTCGACAATCCGCCTGTGACGGAAGAAGACCCGGCAGCGGAATTCCTGGCGAGGGAACAAAACGTGTTGGCAGGTCTGGAAGATGACAACTTCGGCGGTGCGCCCGTGGCGCCCCAGGAACCTGTCGTCGGTGAGGTTCCTCCGTCTTTCATTTTACAGTTCTCATGTTTCGCAACGTGTGTCCTGTGTTTAAGTACCGTAGGCCGACGGAGAGGTGTCCGCGCTTTCGCTAGACTCCGGCAAATCGGTGACTGGTTAGTAGCCGTGTCACCATTGGGGCGGTGCTTGGGGTTTTGCAGGGAGGGCAGTTAACCTCGTTAGCCTGAAAGCACGTCCGATTTCCGCGGTGTACTCTTTCGCGTGATGCATCTGTCCTGAATACAAGGTATTCTAATGGTACTATAATGGCATTTAGTGGTACGTTAAAATTGCAGCCCGGGCCACTACGGCAAGCACTGCATGAGTGCTTCAGGCATTCGCATACGCCCACTGTGTATCCAAACATAATTTCGGAGCAGCACTGCAATTTGCACGTCACCTCAGATGGTGACGAAGTAGCCGTTATTTGCGCATTCCTTATGAATTCACTCACGTTTTGTGTGTTTATTTTCAGACGGCCCCGCCGATGATGTTGCAGCTGAAGTTCAGGCGAGTTTGATCGCTTTCCTCACAATTGTCACGGATCAGTATAGTTACGTTTGAAGTATCAGTCGCGAGGCGCTTAGACGCGGGCCTCTATTCCGTACCGACGCGACGGAAAGAGTTTGTGCTTCGTTCCTTACTCAGGGATAGCTCAATATATAACGCACGCAGAAGCTGTGGGATCACGCTGTTCAATTAAGATCGGTTCGTTAAAGCCACACATTTATTTTCGTATGAAGGAAAAGAGGTTAAACTTAAGGGCTCGTTTTCTTGGTTAGAAACAATATTGAAAACTGACAGACAATTATGCCAAGGATAGTATAGGGGATATTATTAGAAGTAATTGTAATAAAAATACGACAAAAGAAAAGTGTATGAAAAAATAACTTGCCCTGGGCAGGATTTGAAATTGCGACCTTCGAGTAATGCTTAATTTGTAGACCAGCAAGCTCGTTATTCGAAGGTCACAGGCTCGGATCCTGCCCATGGGAAGGTATCCTTTCATCCGATTTTCTTTCTGCACATTTACATTACAATTACTTCTAATAATATCACTATACAATGCTTGGCATAATTGTATGGCAATGCTCATTATTAACATTTATTTTTCATCACTCTTCGACTTGCGGACTGTTTCAGCTGCTGCTTCATTGTCCAGTACTTCGGTCACAGGACAGCATGAAACGGTTGGTATGTAGTGCTACCCAAATGACCCTTACAAATATGCCAGTGGTCATCGCGGCTCCCTGCAGAATTGAGCAGTGAAACAACAGATGTTGCCAAAGTCTCATTTGCGCACTAGATACACAGCAGCCAGCGTGTGACTCCTTTAAAAGAGCAGTGCCTTTAGACAGGTGTGCGCATTTGGTTTCTTGCTGAACAAAGTGGCCCATCTTAATGGAAATTATTGTGTACATCAATTTATTTCAGATGAATGGGCCTTCTCAGCCACCAACAGTTGTCCCGGATACATCGCCGCGACCAACTCCTGTCCGTGAGGAGCCCGAGAAGATCAAGAAATGGCGTGAAGAGCAAGCCAAGAGGCTCGAGCAGAAGGGTTCGTGCTGTCTTTCTGTACAGAGATGTCCACTTCTACCTTGAACACTGCAACGTGTGGCCAGCACTCCGTGGAGTGCCTTTCGTGGCCTCTTGCTGAACTGTCGCGCAAGGGCAGTGAAAGCTGTAGGTTCAGCCTTCGCCGTGTTCTCTGCTGAAGTGCAGTGGCTCCATCGAATCACGCTTGCGTTGCTGTAAAGGTAACTTCGCCCTTGCTATGCCCATGCAAAACGCTAAAGCGAAACGCTTCTAAAGAAGTGCAGCGACTGCTCCTTGTTCTGCCCAACTCGTACCCCTCGCGTTTTCTTTCTTTTCTGCATGTGATTTCACTAGTAATAAACCTTAGCTGATCTATGAATATAATCTCTAAACTGTGCTGAAGCTTGCACCATTAAGCAAGCCATTTGAAGGAGCATAGGCAGAAATATTTTTTGCAAAATGGGGAGATCACCATATTCATCTGAATTGAAGGCCAAGCAGGGATATGCTCATATTGCACTCTGTATTTTGAGGGAAAAATATTCGGGGGAGCAGGGAGGATGACATAGGCCCGGTTTGCCGCCCCCTGGCTACGCCACTGCTTAGTTGCTTTGTACCCATTCACCAGAATGTGCTTTGTACCCATTCACCAGAATGCACGAAGGTTGCCTTCATGCGCTAGGCTATATCTCCAACACTCTGCCTTAATTTTTACCCAATAGCAACAAAGCTTTTTCACACCATTCTCGTGGGAAATTTAAAGTGTCCAAATAGTTTTCAGCAATCGGTGCCCCAAAGAACCACCACTATCAAACCTTTACTTCTGTCGGCAGGCACTGACTTAAGCTTCACTCTTTTATCGCTACACGACCCATGACCCCCACATCGCTTTATATCTTTCTTGGCTCAATAATTTAGCACGCTGCGGAAAGTTCTATTTGCGTTTTCAATTTGCACCTTATTCAAACGGATCTTTGTTTTATTATAGACTTTATTGCACAAACTTTCATCTGATGAAAATAATCCTGTCACTCACGGGAATGTTCTGGTTAGTCCAAAACAGCTCAGTGGGGTAGTTGTGGGAACGCCAGCGGGTCTTTAAGATTTTACCCATGCAAGGGCCAAGGTTTATTACTTGTGAGTCTCCATGCAGAAAAGAAAGCACGAGGACCGAAAGCTGGATAGCACCAGGTGCTGCCGCTGCGCGTATTGAAAATCGTGCGATTCATAATTTGCGTGCGCATAGCGAGCGAAGGTAGCTCCACTGCAAAGCAGGCATAATTTGGGGAAGCCGTCGCTCTATAGCAGACGACGCGTCGAAGGCTCCACTTAAAGCTGCCACTTTGCTTGTGCGCTAGTTGCCCAAGTGCTCGCGAGAGGCGCTTCACGGTGTGCTGGTTCAATGGTGCGGTGTTGAAGGTGGAAGTAGATGTCTCGGTAACACTTTTGAAGATGCTCCTAATGCAGGAGTGGTAAAAATGCTTGGTTGTTAGAACCACTGGTGCCTCTACTTATGTTAATAGGGCCGGGGAGGCTGTGGTCCTAGTTTCCTACTACCGTAATGACTCGAATCTAACGCGCACCTTTTTTCCAGTTAAGCGAGTTCATAAATCGCATGCACGTTAGAATCGAGTACGAAAAAAAAATGAATACGGTCATTCTATTGCCATCGACATTTCTAAAATGGCCGTCCCCTTCGTGCGTCGGTATGGCGTGTCGGCCATTTCTGCCTATGTGTTTCCCATGTGCGGCACTTCGTACGTGTGCTGAGGAATTCATCTTGTAGTGCATTAGCAACGACGGCATGAAAGGGCTGACTACAAAAACTCGACGAGTGCACCACGATGCGGCTTTTAAAAGAAAAGTCATCGCGTGTGCCGAAAGGTCGGAAATCGGGCCGCATCGCGGTCGTTCGGAGTTCCCGAAACGTGCGTGCGGGACTGGCGGAAACAAAAGCTGAATATTGTTGACAGCAAAGCTTCACGCAAAGGCTTCAGTGGACCACAGCAGGGTCGGTTTCCGCAAATTGAAGAGCTGCTCGGCGAGTATGTGATTGAACAGTGAGTGGCACAGCGGCCCGCGACGATAGAACTGCTCCAAGGGCAGGCTATGCAGTTAGCCTTAGAAAAAGGGCTAATGCGGAGCCAGTTTAAAGCGAGCAGGTGCTGGCTAACTAACTTTATGAATAGGAAAGGCTTTTCCCTCGGAAGGCGAACGGGCATATGCCAAAAGTTGCCGGAGGAGTACGAAGAAAAGCTTCAGTTTTCAGAGGTTCGTCCTAAACTTGTGGCACAACAACGGCTCCCTGCTTGGGCAAATCGGGAATGCCGATCAGACGCCTCTTTACTTCGACATGCTTGGCACCACAACCGTCGAGAAGGGGGCGAAGCAAGTTCGCGTGCTGACATCGGGCCACGGTAAAACTAGTGACAGCAATGCTCCGTTACACGTCAGATAGGCAGAAGGTTCCCCCGTACCTCATATTTAAACAGAAGACGCTCCCGAAAGGAGTCTTTTTCCCGAGTAGTGTGATCGTGCAGGTCAACGAGAAAAATGGGTGTGCGACGCAATCGATGTCTTACTTTTTTTTTTTCGTCGTGGAAACCGGGTGCGCGTTACAATCGAGGGCGCGGTAGAATCGAGTAAATACGGTAAATATTATTAGAGGGAACTCTGACACTTGAACTAACGTGGGAATAAGACTAGAACAGAAGTCTGCCTGCTCTTCGTTCCTGTTACTTCAGCTGGCCAGGGTAACCACGCCGCACAATCCATGAAGAAACCAGCACAGCACACTTTCGGCAGCAAATAACCATATACCACTGGCTAGTGTTAACCGGTATCAACCGGTTTTGGTTAATGTTGGCCGAATGGTGGCTAATATGGGCTACAGCCTATAGAAAACAGATGAAGCAAAGAAAGAGATAAGGGGCATCTTTTATGTTTTAATTGTGGTACGGATATTCGCCATAAATGGAAAGCAATTAGAGGATGAAAAGATGAAAAGTGAAGTTGTTGCATTTAGGAACAGACAACTTTTGGATAACTCGTTCAGTGCACAACCAATCGGCAGAGCATAGCATCTGTTATCTGAAGGTAGTCGATTCACTATTGCCGTTAATAAGGATGTTGCTTGTATAAAACGCTATGTGGCGCAATGAAAAGCTTGAATTTCAACTTGTTTATCAAAGAAAGGTGCAGTGAAAGGGCTTTTTCATTTTGTCTGTGTTCGCCTTCCACCCCGTCTCCACTGAAAAGTGGTTGTGTGCGATCGCTGAAGATGTACCGAACGTCGCACCACCGCTGCTGCAGACTTTGAACAGCCACCATGCTGCCAACGATTGAAACTGATATGGTGCACACCTCTATCATCTACGGCTAACTAGAAACTTTTAGTTTGCTGTAGCTTGCCAAAGGCATGCTCTGAACATCCACTACCGTATTTACTCGCGTAATCCTCGCACTTGCATAATTCTCGCACCCCCCACATGGCCCAACAAAGATACGATTTCTTTTTTTTCCTCAAGTAATGATCGCACCCTCAAAAACTGCCGCAATAATGTCGTCTGCTCGTTCCAACCACTGATGATGATAGGGTGCGCCATCTGGCGCCATCTCTTAAGCATTAAGCGTACTATTATTGCATGAAGATTCAATTCGATCCAAGTCAAGCCAAAGTGGCAAGTATGCGTTGCGGCGTGTTTTGTATGTTGTGTCGGTAATCTTGTCACGTTATGGGGCAATACTGAAGCTACACGGCTGCTTTCAAGTTGAAAGTGATAGAACATGCTCTAAGCAACGGCAACAGGGCCGCCGGTAGGCCCTTCGGAGTCTACGAGTTCTGTGTTTTCTACTGGCGACAGTAGCTGTAAGCTACCAAGATGCGTTGGGCCTGCCGTGTGCCTGAAACTGGGATTGATGGTAAAATTTATTTCATCAGAAGGAAAGTGCGGACGATTCTGTTAAATAGCCATCAGCCCAATACTGACGTCCTATGCTTACTTTTTGAGGGCTCCTGTTGAGCGTCGTACGCTACCGCTACGCTCACAAGCTTTGCGTATGGTATTCTAATTCTCGACTGTTTGCTTGCACTTTTTGTCTCAAATAAATCTTGCCTTGTGTTGAGCCTGTACTTTTACTGTTGATGTAAGCTTTAATTAGTACTTCCCAAAGCTTGCTGTTGCTGGTGTGAGAATCCCGGTTTGCGGCCACTTAGTTTTCTTTTTCGCTCTGTACGTTTTCGTGGAAAGTTTTCCCCGTGTAATTCTCGCACCCCCCAACTTTGCATTGGTTTTCCGCTAAAAAAAAGTGCGAGGATTATGCGAGTAAATAAGGCATGTACTACCTCACATATACACCATTGCTTAAAGACCCCCCTAAGGCTTTTTATGCTAAGCGCGCGCTTGGCTGTGCCCTGCAAGTGCCTCTGCTTCTCTTCCTTAGCTTCACCAACACCAGCTTTGCCAAGTTTTATTAAACAAGGCCTGGCCTGCCACAGCCTCAAAATTAAACAGCTCCGTGTGAAAAAAAAAAAAAGCATACCTTCAGTCAAAACTGAAAGTTACCTGCCACAGTGGTCTAGGAATTATGGTGCTCGATTGCTGACCCGACCAATGCGGGAACAAACCCTAGCAGCACCTGCTGCATTTTAGGGGCGAAGCTCCGTATGGCGTGGCTTGTGTGTCCCTCGTAGTACGTAACCACCAGTGGCACATACCCGAAATAGCAGTCCTTACGATTTTGACCTCCAAGTGGTTCCAGTGAGAGATTTCTTCTGTGCGTTGTTGAACAATAAAAGATAGTGTAGTGCCATCATCACCATCATAATTTTTTCCATCACCGCGATGCGTCTCTCGCGCAGCTGGCGCGAGCTCGAGCTGCGCAAGAATGAGAACGAGCTGACACGCCTGGCGTGGCGGACGCTGGTAGCCGACGTGGCTCCGCTTCAGGCCTGCAATAAAGTGGCGAGATCGGCACGGCCCCATCAGCCGCCTTCGACGTCATCTCACGTCTCTCCTTCTC